TAACAGTTATATCAACACGAAATTTAGGAGAGGTAGCTTTATGCACGAAAACCTAAGTTGACTTCTCATGTGTTTTACCTGAAGTGGTACAAGGATCCTTAAGACACTCCTTGGTCAGAACCTAGTCTCGTTCAACCAGACTCTTGTTGTCTGCGCAAGCAACGCCGAACAAAGAATTACAAGTGATCAAGCGTCTGGTTGAACGAGACTAGGTCAGAAATTAGTCCATTCGTGTCGATGACATCTGTAGAACATGCAGGCTAGGTATTAATATACCGGTAATTCAAGGCCTTTGTAAATCGGATTACCTCCCTTTTGGAGTGCTTATCTAGGTCTTATAAGCGTTTTGAACATGCGTAGACTGTTAAGTTAAGTTAACGAATGGTGGAAACCAATGTAAACAATATGGCCTGATAAATGCGTGTCCATATATCATAAAGTAGGGTAATGTCCCCATACATATGAAAAGGACGGAATATAAGGAGTGACGACATGGCTATATTGACGAACATACGTATGTGAAATACCTGTGTCCAAATGCGAATTATGGCAAAGCATGTGATACAGTGCACACGAAACTAGGGTTTCGGGTTAGGTCTAGGCAAATAATGTTTTCCTATGCAGATGGACCAAAACGTGTCAGCTGTGATAAATATTTATCAAATAGCACATTGATTGACTGTGAGGTGTTCGTATGTAAGGATCCCGACGCTGTGACGTACAGGTTGACTGTTCTTATGGCCGGTGAAAATGAAAACACGAAACACGTTGATTTCATTTGTACATTGATGCACATGTAGATTTATTGTTTCCGAATCTGCTGACCCAGTGATTTGGTGAGCAGCGTATGATCCACGTGTGCAGAAAAGAGTTATCTTTCTATTCTTAAATTCTAAAGATTACCTTGTTAGTCTGTATGACCTTAATGTGACATTTAATAGGACTATCACGTGATCATATTGATTTTAATGGACTGTTATGATTACCGTGTGACCCTATATGACCTTATTGTGCTGATATATGTAGTATGAGCGTTAATATAGAATAATATAATCCTACTCAATACCATTAAAGCTAGATTGTTTTTTCAGGTTTCATTTTGTTTATCGTCCTTTTAACAGCTAAGATCGTTTGAAGACGTAGCTAAACGAAGACAGAACTAGTTATAAATTAGTTGGACTCTTATTATCTACACCCTCTACCTTTAGATAATGTCAAATCACAATTACGTGGCTTAATTTTGTTGAAATTAACTATGACTGGATTGCCACCCCTCCCCCTTCCACTCGGGTGGCCGTATGGCCCATTGGATCACGCACTATTCTTTCAACAAAGGCGGCCGGGGTTCGATTACCCGATCGGACATGAAAAAGTATGCGGTCACCTGTCCGATCACGTGGGCCTTCTCCGGGTTCCCCTGTTGCTCTCACATTAAGACCTAATGCGCACTACCATCCGGGCCAACAATAGTGATTACTGTAAGCTGCAAGCACCTATTCCACTATTGTTGTAAAATAAATCATGCTAGAAAATAGACGAACTGGATTGTGCCTCCCCCCTCTCCCCTTCCAATTCTCCATTAAAGCAATGTTGGTACAAATGTGTTTAATGTTTCTATTAAATTTTCAGTTGCTTTTTCATATGACGAAACGAATAAAATATCAAATGTTAAAATAGAAATATAAAAAAAAATTGAAAAAATTGATAATTATACATAATTAAATCTTGAGGATAAGGCGGAGATCAATTTTCATGCATATTTGATCGATAGGATTTTAAAGCAGCGTTGAACTTTGACCCCTTACAGTGACGACACTGAGTTATGATACGACTATTTACGCACAGTACATGCAATGCTATTTTCCACCTACAGTGGTAACACCGGTGATAGTGGTACTCACACTTTCGTGTTGTGTCATTTTCACCGGAGGAACGTAACAGCGTCAAGAACCTTACATACGGACACATCACAGTCAATCTATGTGTTATTTGATAAATATTTATCACAGCTGACACGTTTTGGTCCATCTGCGTAGGAATACGTTTGGGGATGTTCTGGACACTTGGCGACAATAACACCACAGCCAGACTCCCCAGTCAATTATTAATCCGCGAATTAAACAAGTCCAGTCAGATATATGCAAAACCTGTTGACACTGAGAGGCTTGTTACTAGGGCTGCAGCAATATATTGCACCGTGATACTTCCTTATGTATCGTATCGCATTGTTCTGTTTGTCTGTATCGTGACACTAACACCTGTTGACATTGAGAGGCTTGTTACTAGGGCTGCAACGATATATCAAACCGTATTGTATCGTGATACTCCCTTTGTGTATCGTGTTGTTTTGTTTGTCTGTATCCCGATACCATTACAGTACTGAAATTATCAATCATATTTTTGTTGATCAAACTCTAAGAGTTAACTTATTGATGTTGTTCACAGTGCAATCGTACCGAGAATTAATAAAAATCATAAAAACTTATTTTTTACAATTTTATCACTGCTGTCAATGATAAAACGCTGTAAAACCCTATACATAAGCAGGTAATTGTATCATGATTCATATCGTAAGCGTCGTTAGTACAATATTCGTACGGAAAAGCTTCGTTCTAAATCCGATGTCCCTCGAGCTGTATAAACTTTGATTACCTGTGTTTTCAAGTCGTATTTTCGTACAACCATTCAAGTGATTAAATCCAGCGGAAATTTTGATTTTTTTAACATAAACGATATTTATATATGTATGACAATTAACATGTTATTGGCTTCTCTCTATTGTTGAATTTGAAATTAATTGCCTACGGCATCACTTGTATATATATGAAATATTTTGTTGATAAGAAAATTTGCTATAACTTGTGCCAAATCCTTTGTACCTATTTGAACAATAAAATCTATTTAAAGTAAAAAAAAAATTAAACACTCAAGTGACTAAGATTATAAGCGTGCTGATCCGTCAACATCGTTTCATTGACGATAAACACACACACACAGTACAATTAACGGGTAGAGCATAAGTACGAAAACTGATGTCTATATCTTAAGAATGTAATGATATACATCGTAGGTTGAAGAAGATATCCCTAATAGTCACGCTAGTAGGAACTCTCGTGGTTTTCATTAATGAACTTATGTTCAAACCAACGAGACGCGTTCGCGTTATGATATGTAAGTATACCTACATACATGAAACATTTCATACCGGCAGGTTCATTAGGGAAATGCTATTCAATTCAGAACTAACATTTATAATAGTTGACATCTCATTTTCCATAGAGTGTAATGTAAGCTATTACACAGCCAAACTGTACGTGTTAGCTCTGTAGTAGACAGTTCAATTGGGATTCGAACATATAGGTGCCCAAACTCTCACGGACAATCTAACACCCGGACCAACACTTACGCAATGTTCTGATATCAACATTTAAAAGTGTTTCTGGAGAACTTGATATTGAAATACATATATTAAACGCACCGTAAACAGGCTGTATTGTCGAAACGTACACGTTTCCGTAGGGTATAGGATATATCCCCGCTGTGTCTGACTAAGTAAACATACATAGGGGACCCTATTTTACTTCTCATGGCGCGTCTAGGAGTTTTTACCGAGGTACGGCTCTATTGAGCTTAAGAGAAACGTCGGGACGGATTTAATAATTCTCATATGAGTGGAAACGAATTAAAAATCCTTAAATCACATTACCAGGAGTTTTTACTAGTGTAATAGAAAGACATGTTTTCTTGACCGTGTTGTCTGGTCCCAAACGTCGCTGCCATGACTTTCCGCTTAATGCCATTACGTCATGTCTACCTTAAGTACTTCTTACGTCAAAATGACAAGCGATTCTTACTTGAGGTATTACGAAAATGTGTGTGTGGGGGGGGNTGTTACATCGAATAAATAGATAGAAGTATTTTTGTTATCAAATCTACAATAAGCAAAAACGAAAAAGAATTCGAAATAGTTTAAATGTTAGAAAAAAATTCACTTCGGTATCTTCGTTTTTCTGTTCGATATAACGTGGTTTGGGTCATAGGTTTAACGTCGTATCATAGGTTCGGTTTGGTTTAGTTTAGTTTTGTTTATCGTCCTATTAACAGCTAAAAGTCATTTAAGGACGTGCCGCCGTGTGTGTAGTGTATGCGTATACAGGAGACAAAACATGTTGGTGTTATTGCCTCCTTGTGATAGCGCGGATCTGATGTCGACTTTATAGTGCTATCTCACTGAAATGCCATCAACAGCTAAGGTCATTTAAGGACGTGAACGAATCGGTAATGGAGGTGGTTGTCACCTCTCGGCCGCGTTAATGAGTGTAATGATACACATACAGTTTACATGTATTTGTGTAAATATGTCGAGACAAACGAGCATTAATGAGTATAGAAAATAAAGATGGTTAATCTCTGACTTACACATTTTGTTTTTTTCAATTTTTATAATAATGAATATATCAGCGATTTGGATTTTATCTTATTGGACGTGTAAGGGAATGGATCTATACAAAAACTGAGTCAAGAATTCGCATAAAACGATTAAGGAAAACTTACTAGAGATTAAACATATTTTCACAAATTTAATAAATTGTATCCTATATGCTGCTTCCACATGTGACTCGACTAAAATCTATGTTAAACTATTAAAATATTTCAAATAATACGACCAATAATTTTGATTTTGTAATTGAATAGCTTTCGGCTATAAAGATAATAACAGATTAACATTATTTCATGATATTTTTATGTACATACTAATAGGAAGGAGGTGTAGCAAAACATTTCATAATATTTTTTTTATGTGCATGTATGTCTATGTACATATATTTTTATGAACATGTTAATAGCAAAGAGGCGAAGCAAAATATTTCGAAATATCTTTATGTCCATGCCATAAGAGCAAAAAGACGTTGCCAAATCCAATTGCAAAGTAAACTATTGCAGTGTACAATGGAAAATTATAATCCCGCCTTTACACCTGAAATGTACTATTGACTTACCTGTGTCTGATGAGGGGTCCGGGAGAACAAACGCTTCCCCGGTCAGGTGCGACAGGTGGTAAATTGTCAAAGTGAGAATGAGGAAAGTATACCGCGTCCTCATGCCTGGCTAATGTGTCCTAACACCACACGTTCTACTGTAATCCTACTGTAACTCTGCTGTAATTCTGCTGTTACTCTGCTGTAACCTTGCTGGAACTCTGCTGTAATTCTGCTGTAACTCTCGAGGTGTTGCTCGCTGTAAGTCTGTTATCCTCGTGTGTGGTCTATGTATAGACCCGACCACTATACAGCTGTAGTTCCAATACCACACTGTTATTAACCTTCACAGTCTCTAAACTGCCGTCACACTCTGTCCCGAAATAGATATTTGATTATTTCAGCCAAAAATCTACCTATGCTTATCTTTAATCCGTGCTATTTACAATCAAATATCCTCGGAAACACCCACGAGGTTTTTATTGGACGAGCGCTATGCTTCTCCGTAATAAATAATATTTCTGTGTTTGGAAATTCAAAAGATGCTCAAGAGTTTAATTCCGTAGACTCAGTTCCATGTTAGCTGTCAATCTGCTGAGCAGTGTGTGTGTATCGCTGATAAGAAGTGGCCAAACGATCAATAACCTTCATCTGAAATTTAAACAAAAGGAGAAAACATATATCGAAATAAATTAACTAATAACTTAATCATTATAGAAGCCCTGTGAAACGGTATTAGATAAATAGCATGTGGCGGGGGTACTGCGTACTATACAAGTATGATACGTGTTTTTAGCAGCAATGAGCCTCTTTGAGATTATTATGAAACCGTATAGGTAGAAAATAATGTACCGATATCCTATATGGGTCCAGTCTACCATACAAATACAACGAAGCGATAAAATACAGGCAAATTTCTTCATTTACCTGGCTAGGTGTTAGTCTGAGTCGGTTCCCCTTCCCTCTGTCCTATAACGTGTTAATATAATATTGATACAATGTGTACGAGCAGTCTTATATCATGGCAAAATTCTGATACGGGATATGACGTAGAAACGCGCGTCTAATACTACTCACTTCACTCAAAATAATTCCGTTTTATGCACGTTGAGGTGTGTATACTTCCGGTTTTCTCAAGATTCCTGAGGTTTTTGCGAATTCCATCTAATATGAGTATAACAGAATATAACTTCCTGTGATACGACTTCGGTTGTTTGAGTGTCCGGTTCTCGGTAAACACACCACCCAACAATTCTGTTCAGATTTATGGCCACTCGAGACCCGGATTGCTGCAGTAAATGACGAGGTTAAGGAGGTGTGGCTATAGTGGACCAGATCTTCTTGCCTCCACGTTAGAGAGTTCCTATTAATAGATACGGTATACATAAGCGGAGTTTGTTGTGTTACTCATTCCATAGGAACTGACCAATCGGTGCCTAACGACGTACGGATTAATGTTAAGGCTTATTCTTTTGGTCGACCTGTTTACCGACCTAAGATTACAGATATAAATACGTTTTCTCCTTTGCAGTTATACGCTCTCTGAAGATATACTGAAAAGGGTTTACAATTCAAATTAAAAAGGCAACATACCACCCACTGCACATGTAAATATTTTTCACTAGTTTTTCAGAAATAAAGTCCTCTTCAAATGCCTCCAAATGCAACCGGAAGTGAAATTGACAGTATTAAGAAGCACCTCAAGAAGCGACTAGACGCTTACAACGGTGTCACCTGCAATGAGCCAATGAACCAATACCAAAATAGTAACATAGCACGATTTTTAATGACGTCATTCATACACAACGATGTCCAGTGACGTCATTTACATAACAAAACTCTTAAAGACGACACAGGTACTTTTTCGACATTTTTTATCATTTATATAATTTATGATTTTATTATTTAGTGACAGTTCGCCTTCTACACATTTTTAGCGACGAAACACATATTATGACTTTAAGTAACGTCACACATAACTCTCCACTGCTAGCGACATACACGAAATAAAGAAAAGTTGAAATAAGATGATTACTTTTATCAATTCATTTCAATGTCAGTTTCATCTTTCGTATTGACTATATAATATAGAAGACTGACATGCGGATTTTTTATATAGCTTGCACATACCACTTGCTTCTCAAATAATGGTGTTGAAATCGGACTGAGACGTTATGATGGTTTCTCCCGAAAACGGATATATTATAAAAAAAAATAAAAAAATAGACGGTCTAACCCGCATTCGAGACAAAACGTATTTTATCACATAATGTACAGTGTTATCCAATGAATTTGCCCATGTCATATTTTTTTGCATATTAACCTATGTAATATGACCTATCAGTCGTGTGATTGGTTGTAAATTTCAATTGGTTTCAATTGTAACGTCACGCCTATAACAAGTATATGACGACACAGACTTACGCACTGGAGTCAAAATGGCGGCTTTTTACATTTCAAAGTTGCATAAAAATTGTCGTTCTACACGAATAAATGCCACAAATCTTCACGATGTGATATGCCTCCCTTCGGTCGATATCACATTTTCAGGTTCATATCACATCATATTTACCAGCACAAGAGTCCATCATTGTATAATGTATGTTTGAATAACAAAAATGGTAACTATAATTACCATTAAGTTTATCAAATGTACTGAGTGCATTGTTTACCGGTGACGTTAAATTCCCTGTAAGTACAATTTTTGTTTATTATTGTCTATTCACAAACATCTCTTTTGCGGGACTTTCCGACATATTCGAGAAAGCCCGATATCCTCTCCAATACTAAAAAATGCCATACATCTTCTCTACCTTTCAAAAATTGGAATTTTGCTGAAAACCTTTAAAACTCCATTTTTTTTTTTTTTTCCCTGAATCTGGTCATCAGCTTCAGTTTTATGGTTTCTTCAACGAGACTGCAACGAGACTGCACTGGCAGGGGAGGGCGACTTCACGGACCGTCATCATGACAGTAGGATCAGTCCATGACGAGGCCAAGGCAAGCGTTCGATAATTCCAAACGCCCAGATAATCCTCCCTAAGTCGGCTGCCATATACGGCCGTATCGGTGCTTAGTCCCACGCCAGGATGGTTATATTTGTACGGGTCTGGACGGAAGAGGTGATTGGACAGTGCACGCGTCATTTCAGGAATAATGGCTATAATCCTGGATCTTCTGTGACGTGGTAATTTTCAGCAATATGACGGCTTTCCTCAAGGTCGCCTGAGTCGTTCAACCAGAGACACTTTTTCGCCTTCACGCAAGCAAACTTGGACAGTGTTACTTTCGTCCAATGTGAAAATTGTGGGTTATCTAACGGATAATAATTGATAGTAATTCATGTTTTACTTTTCCAGGTTTGAAATGCTTTTATTTTCCCTTCTTTTTCTGAGTTTGTACCTCTTACATCATGACACTTTACATATAATGCCTCTGTGTTTATCGTCAGTGTAATGTGACCGGGCAGAGTATTGTGCTGGGTTGCCTTCGGCATGATATTTCAGTGAGATAGCACTATAAAGTCTACATCAGACCCGCGCTATCACAAGGAGGCAAATACACCAATATACCATACCTCCGGCACACAACCACACATCAACGCATACACAACACGCATGAAGGCACGTCCTAATTTACCTTGGCTGTTGACGTTAAACTATATAAAGCCAAACCAACCCCGTTAGTGTGATATATGGGATCAGCGGTTAGATTGTCTGTGCGCCCAGCCGGAACACACATTACACATCATGTTTTTAACTATTTATCACCCCTGCTTGCCCTTAACAAATAAACAAAAACACACCACGCATATTTTCACAATCGGTGTACCTGTGGTTCAAGAAGAGTTAACCCTCAAACGATACCACTCAACATAAACTTCATCACACACTGGTATAATGTTAATTTCAAACTAATTTGATACATAGACGATCCTAGAAATATCACAAGCGGGTAAATAACGAAATTTAACCCCGCGAATATGTTCCGGTTACAAAAACGCGAAATATTGACACGGCGAATGTAGAGCCAGTCAAGGCGGCAAGGAGTGAATGTCTTATACTGGGGTCCCCACCTAAGGTACGGGGTAATGTATCGGATTAAGGATTGAGATACTCGATTGTTTGTTTATGATCAATTCGTAAGCACGTGCGCCTAAATTATGGAGGACTGTATAACGAGGGTGAGAATATGGTGAATATAATTATAACTAATGATATAAACGTCTGCCTGAATTGTAAATTCTCCAACTTTTTTGAATCCCGAGTTAAATATTTCTACATGGTAACATAGACATAAATGTTGATTATATTTATTCTACCACGTCATAATCTTACTGACTGTATTTTAGTGTACCTGATAATTAAGTTTATTTAATCATACCAGTCTTTTTCTCGAACAACCATTTTTGACATGATGCCTCGTTTTCATTTCATCAAAAGGGCATTCGCATCTGGTATAATAACGTTTGGCATTGCAGCCATTGGTATTATTCTTCCAGTTTACCGAAGTTGTGTGTTGAAACGAAAATATGAATTTGCTCACGTGTACATTCACTCGACAAAGCAAAATCGAAAAAAGTTAATCACCTGATTGATGTAAATGCCATACAGGCGACGCTGACGGAGGAGCTGCAAGTGTATGATCTATCTACGAATTAAACATTAATCTCCGACTTTATTTAGGGGATAGTACGTTGTTTTGAGTGGCTAACTGGCGAAACATTGTATTTCCTTGTACAAAAGTACGTAGTAAAGTACTTTGTGACCTGAACTGGCGACGTGTCATTCTGCAGCGGACTGACCAATCGGAAAGAAGCTTTCAAACTCGGTCATTTGGCCCCGCCCATACTGGCGAGCGCTCGATCTGTATGTTCGTAAACGTCCTGTTACCAAAGTTTATACGACACATATGCATTAATATTGACCAAATTATTACATTTCCATGTTAGTATGCATACCAATCTGTGCTTACCGACACAATCGGTGTTTATTTGAATAGATTTGTGAAGAGTTTTGTGTAAATTCATACATCACATGTGAAATGTTTCATTTGATTTCGGATCTAACTAGGTGCCTTCACACGGATGGAACGAACGTTTCATTAATAAATGGAGGTAAGAACAAGGAATGTGTACTTTTTACTTTTAAATTCATACAACAAATACATTTCATCGGTCGTTTCTGTTCTGTTGCCTACCAGCCTGTATCAGCAGAATTTCGCTAAGAGGCGAGCTTGACGCCATATTGTTTTGGTTAGAAACGGGGCGTGGCTTAAGTGTGATGGGAGGAGCTTAACACGATTGATCATGATTCTATCGCAGATTAGAACATGGTCCGTATCCAATCAAAACACGCGTTGCAAACGAATCGTGTTAGAATGCCTCATTGCAAATATTATTCAGCAATAAAAAATATTGGTAACATCGCTGAAGTGATAATATACAATATCAACCAATATAATCTAATAATACTAATAATAATTAGAGGTTCTTATATACCAATTTATCACAACTTAGTTCATAGGTCGTCTCAAAACGGTTTACAAATTATCATCTGTGGTTATAGGGCAACTAGCCAATATCTTTCTCAACTTCCCGGGGAGCATACAGCCGTGCTGCCATTTCGAGGCTCAGAGCTATTATTCAACAATTCCAGCACTGCCCAACACGTACTCATTTACAGCTGAGTAGACTGGAACAAGTATCTTGCTCAAAGATATCACATATTTCCAAACTGATGAATCTTATTGAAAACAGTAATAACTATTAGGCTGATATACCCGTTTGTTGTCACAGTGTGAAATACGGAACCCTTCATCACTGAAGACACATTCACTGGTTATGTAATAAAACTGGCTGTATCACTATAGTCAGATTCACTAGGTTAATAAAATACCAATAACATTTGAAATATAATTGAAATTGTTACTATGATAATGATATACAGGGCGAGGTGGGCAGGCGAGTAATTTCTTTTGGTCACTTACGTCATTTCCTGTTCTAAAATTTTATTAATGAAAAACGATGCAGTGACATATTTCTTTACATAATAGAAGATCTTAAGGATATGATTCTCATTTAACTCAAATTATTTATTTACAAAAAGGTCTTTGATGAAAGAAAAATCCGTTTTTAGTGCAGGAATTTGAAATCATCAGCTGCATGGTACAAGCGGCATTTCAACTTATAAGGTACGCGCAAATGTAATTCCATGTCTGTATTATATAGGGGTGTCTCGTAACCACAGCGTCCAACACAGACGTGGTATTCCTGGTGATAATGTCACTCCCTCGTA